GGAAAAATAAAGGGAATATCTCTCTAGGTGACTTGTTATTTGTCAGCTCGTCTATGTATCACATCCCAGATATGTATGTGAACTATTCGTATCTGTGTATGATATACCACCAATCACAGAGACTGCTATAGAACACTGTTCGTTCATGCATGTTCCTCAGATTTAGGAGTGTTTTTTTTTGTTGTTTGTTTTCGGTTTGTTTGTTTTGTTTGTGGACTTCAACAAAATGATTTCTGATATTTTAAGTTCTGAAACAAGATAGTAATGTAATATTGAACTTGAACAGAATTCAGTCAGGGAATTTCAGCTAATATAAAATCAAATCATTCCCCTGGCTAAACGTGTAAATCTTACGAACTTTACTTTGTAGGAGCTTTGGCACGTTTTTGGAAATCTTCCACTTGCCTACAAATTCTCTGGAAAGTTTTAAATGTTTTGCTTAGAGTTTACAAATTGTATTATTTTTATTATCCAAAGGAGAAAAGATTTTGGCCAAGGAAATTTCTAGTCATTTAAAACAAAGAAAGATCTTCCTCCCTGACATTCCAGGTTGGACCCCAAGAAAAGTCTTTTCTGAGTTTCAGATGAGTTAAGAAGATGTTTTTGTTGTCTAGTTGCACATTGAGTCAGTTTCCTATTATAAGTCATTTGTTCATTTGTAATAACTCTAATGATTCTGAAACAAATATGTCTCATTATTTGGGAGAAAGTTATCTTTTGGTGACCTGATTCCTACACAGTGTCACATGTTTCAGCAGTTTAATCACAAATGCTGATATTCAACTCAACTGAACTCCAACTACAAAGTACAGTTTCTGGATACTGGTGAGAACAACCACTTACCACTAAATCACCTCATTATCATCAAGGAGTCAAGAAAAAAATTAAGAAATCTGTTGAGTCTTGAATAAGTAATCACAGCAAGCATATGTTCTTAAAATTCCATATTTTGAAAGTAAATGCCAGTTTCACCATCACCACTATGGAAATATCACTATGGAAAATTCTAGACAGTAATATTCTTAATTCTAACAGCCTCTACTTTTTATTATATAAAAGAAAACATTGTCATTGTTGAAAATTTGCAAAAAAAGAAAATTGTAGAGAAGAAATCATCCATAATCCTATCTCAGAAATACCATTATTAATGTTGGGCTTTCTTTTCAGACTTGAGTTCTATAGAATGTTTGTCTTATACAGTGGAAGTATGCTGTGTATTTAGTTACCTCTACAGCATAGCAATTTCCATTGTCACTCGTAGTTTTTCATAAACATGTTAGTGTATGAATAATATTCCATTGTAATAATATACCACAATGTAACCATTTTCCTGTTGATAGACATGACTTATAGTCCTAGCTTCATCCAGTCAACAGCCTTTTATTTATCACTTGCTTGTAGGCAAGAGGCTGAGGACTAAGTAAAATCTATAAAGCTGACATTGAGGAGTGTATTAATCAAACACATGGAGGATATCATGACGGGTGCTTAAAGAACAATAATAATAAAAGCCTTCAACATAATACTATTTTTGTTACAACATTTGAAATTATTTAAATAATTTTGCAGCCTGCCAATTAGTGTTGCGCTGTATAGTGATATGCTACCTTTCTACTAAAATTAAATTAGTTTTTGTCATTTTTTTCTACGTTAGGATACTATCCACAGTAGAAATTGAGCTGGAAAAAATCTGTACGATGTGAAAGTTGAGACATAATTTACCAAAAATTTACAAATATAGACTGTATCAAGTTCTAATAAAGTGTGGAACTCAATCAGCCTATGCTGGGTTGGGCTTCCACCTAGGATAGAATCTGGAAAGTGAAACAGATAAGCTGTATTAACGTATAGTATTCCATGTCTCCCTGCCTTTACAAAAATGTACGGTGTTGCATCAAAGCTATTTAGAATACTGGCTAATAGCTGTTCCAGTCAGATTAGGCTAATCCAGGCCACAGTATCCAACCTCCAAACCTTAGTGGCTTAAAACTGCAAGTGTTTCTTTCTCACTCATCCTACATGTCCACCACAAGTAAGATTCAGAGCTGATCCATGCCACGTTCACTCCAGGGCCCAGACTGAAGGAGCAGCCACTCACTGGGCTGTGCTGATCTCACGGCAGAGGGAAAAGAGAAGGCCTGAGCAGATTCTTCTCTGGCTTTGGAAGCTGCCACTGGGGAGTGACCCACTGCGCTTTTGCTTACATTCCATTGGTTGAAAGGAGTCATGTGACAAAGCCTAATGTCTGTGAGATGCCAGCAAGAAGCAGAAGTATGTCTTCTACAGGCATGGGAACCACATGTCCCATGGCCAAGCTGAATGTCAGTAAGAGAGAAGTATAATCTTCCCACAAGGAGTAAAGGGCAGAGGACCTGCAAAGATCTTAAACAACAATACAGTCTACCTCAAAATACTTTAAACAATAACACAATTGACCCTACCAGCCAATAATAAGGATCATCAACGAGTCGTTTCCAGAGGATCTAAGAATATAGCTCAGGTAACTGAGAGAACTCTAGAGATCCCTGAACTACACTTTCATCTGCTCCCAATGTCTGTACCCTTCCTCCTTCCCATCCTTCCCTCAGCATCCACCACCTCAAACCTTTAGAGAAATAACAAGTTTAAACAGTTACATTGTACAGATTTATTCCATCAAGATGTATTACTTATCTAGATATGTCAATAAAATGTCCTTAAAATATATAAAAACTACCCCAAACTAGTACTTATTTTAAAAGAGAAATGACAAGTCAGATACCTTCAATGGCCAGACAGGTATCAATGGGCAGGGATGGATGGCTGGGGCGTCTTGTCTTAGGTCCAACCCATTCTCTCTATCCCTCAGAGTAGGCCCATTCTTTCCCATCCAATATTGCACGAGCAATCAGCAATCAGAAACCCAGAACTTAAGTGAAAGCTCCTGAGTTTTAAATGTTGGCAATTACACAAAATTAAAGTACAGTGTCAAAAAAAAAGTTTGCAAGCTGACTGATGAGCTTTCAGGTCACAGCTTCTGATCTGAAGTTTTCTAGTTCTAGAGCAATTTCACTCTCCTGTAGTTTTTAATTATGAAAGTGGTACATGATGATCTTGAGGCTCAGAAAACACTGATATGATTCAGAGTAAGAATAATTGGGCGCCTGGGTGGCTCAGTCATTAGGTGTCTGCCTTCGGTTCAGGTCGTGATCCCGGGGTCCTGGGATCGAGCCCTGCATCGGGCTCCCCGCTCCGTGGGAAGCCTGCTTCTCCCTCTCCTTCTGCCACTCCCTCTGCTTGTGTTCCCTTTCTCGCTGTGTCTCTGTCAAACAAATAAATAAAATCTTTATTAAAAAAAGAATAAGAGTAATCAGACCCAGAACAGACCTTAATGTTTTCTTCCTTTCCCTTTTCCTGTTTTATCTGTTTATTCAAAAAGTATTCGTTCAAGGCTGCATTCATTCACCTCATCTATTTTTGGGCTGATACAAGATAAGCCTCAGTGTCATACTTGCAGTCATCTTTTCTACAAGACTAGTGTTGGAAGAGACGCTTCAGCCAACATTACTCAAGTTGGATATTAATAAAATCCAACCTCCCAAGCATACATCTTTCGGTAGAACAGACCTTACTGCCTTTGCTCCCGCGGCATCTGGCGGAACCTGGCCCGTTACACTTAACTGTCAGGACGCAGGAAATCACAGACTTCGGGAAAATGTTCTAAGGCGGTGCATTCATATCATTTGGCCTGAGTCACCAGAACATGGTCATCAGTCTTTCAACCCTAAGGCTACTGCCGTTATATACATTTTTGTTATCAAAGCAGTGCAGCTTGAACTCTCTGAGCTGACCTCAAGTCGTTGCTAATGCCAGATCGCACCATTTCAAAGGCAGCATAGAATAGTGTGAAAGAGTAGACACGAAGCAAAAGAATCCGCAGGGAAGACAGTCTTGTTTGGTGTCATTAGTCACATAAAAGTATCTGAGAGCTCTTCCCATCTGTAAGTTCAGCCGTCTTTCCCTCGTGACATGAGTCAATGATGTTTAGAAATTTCCCTGCCTAGCCAATATTTTATATCCTTTTCCCATTACAAATTCAGTTAACCAGATCACTTTCTGCAGCTAAATCCACAAGTACATATTTCAGCACTGCTTTTGGGCAATTGTGATGCTCTGGCCAAATGGATAATATTGTGTTTGTTTTGTGCTTGACAGGAAACTGAATTTTAATGTCCTGTCTGTGCTGCCGCTGAACCCCCCCCCCCCCCCCCCCCCCCCCCCCCCCCCCCCCGCTTTCCCCAGCATGAGTATGCTGTCTGGTGTTCGTGAGAGGGAACTGAGCTATGAATCCAAGTCTTTAAACCTCAGAGAATTTCATTTATTATCGAATGGAATTCTCATTAATATTTTAGGGTTTCGCCTTATTTTTCTCAAAAATTGGTTTAAAACTTGGAAAACGAAGAGTGAAATATAGACTCTGCTGCAGTTTTTCATGTGAATAGCTGTTACTTCATGGGAATAAATAGAAGTAACCGTTATCTTTGCCTCCCGTTTGCTTATCTCATCACACAATGCTGGCTTAAAAATTATCCACACTACATTTTGTGCGTCTTTAATCTGCTCAGTTGGCAATTTCTCTCGGCCTCTGTGTGGATGTGTGAAAGTGGGTCACACCACCTGCCTCTCTTGATGCATCAACAAGCATCCCTCTAGTGGTGGATAAAGGAATTCCCTTATCTCCACTATGAACGTGTTTCCAGAAGACCCACAGCCACCAGTGAGAAATGTCCTCAAAGATGTGATGAATATGATTAAATGAATTCTCACAATTTCACTGAAGAACCTTTTGAAAAGGAAATTTAGCTACCCTTATTTTTTTTTCTGATTCCGCCTATATGCTGCATATTACCAAAGAGATTTTGCTGTGTTTTTATAAGCCTCCTATAACCGTCCTTTATCTGTTCTATGTAAAATATCATTCATGTTCGAATCTAGTTCATTTTCTCATTTTGCATCTCAAGCTCCCAGTCAGCCACCAGGAAATGTTGTTTGGAATGCTACAGACACTAAAGTGTTACTTAATTGGGAACAAGTTAAAGCAACGGAGAACGAATCAGAAGTAACGGGATACAAAGTAAGATATTTGCAATGCTTTCTTTTCCTATTCCTGGCAAGGGAAGCACAGTTTGAATGATTTTTCTAACTCTGATAATACGGTTGCCGTAATCTGATTTTAACATAGATATCAAACTTTTTATTAAAAGGGTATTTTCCCCCAAATGTCTGATTTCTTAAATATAAATTTAAGGGAAGTAATTCTGGTCATGCGGGGATTTGGGACAAAATGTTTGTAAACTGTTCATGCTGTTAATTACTTTGTTAATTCTGATGCTCCCCCCTATACTACTTAAAAAACAATGGAAATCGTTAGCTCTAGTCTATTGGTCTGGCTTTTGAGATCAGTACAGTAGGGGCTTGCCCCCTCTCTCCAACCTTCCAAATGCCCAAGCCAGGCTGAGCTCTTCCAGAGAAGAAGTTCACTTTTCCTTCCCTCCTTGATTTTGAGGACTTGATGATTCTAGTGTGTGCTGATCCCCAGCCTAAGACCTATGAAAAGACCTATGAATTAAACTTATATTCTGGTGAGTATAATAAGACAAACAATATGTAAGTGAGGTAACTTCAGAGTAATCAGTCTATGAAACAAAGTAAGAGTAGGCAATGTAAGAAATAAGTGTATCTGTTCATGCATTTTAGGTGTTCTATAGGACTAGCAGTCAAAATAATGTACAAGTGCTGAACACAAATAAGACGTCAGCAGAACTTTTGTTGCCCATTAAAGAGGACTACATTATTGAAGTTAAGGCCACCACGGATGGAGGGGATGGAGCCAGTAGCGAACAGATCAGGATTCCAAGGATAACCAGTAAGTTGGTCAAAGTCAACATTCACTCTATTGATAACATCAGCATTATGAACCCCCAAGAGTAAGTCAGTCAGTGTCCTTCTGTCCATTTTTCCTCCATGATGTCCTCCATCTGAATGGTAAGAAGCTTTTGGAACATGAGAGATGACAGTAACAGAAATTTCTCATGAGTGATACAAACTACGAAGAAAGATAATAATAACTAATAGAAAAGACATCAAAAAATATTTTGCAGAACTATTAATTTGAATTTTTTTCCTCCTTATGAGCTATGCACAAATTTGCCTTTGGATTTCCTCTGAAGAACAGAATTTCTTAAGCATTTCTCAAGGGCAATGTTAAACCCACAAACTAGTTTTAAGATCTTTGTTTGCCTCCTAGAAATTATACACGAATCTTATCAGTTCTTTAAAAAGTGGAAAATGTGACATTGTTAAGGTCATAAACCGCTTGGCCAAACCAAAACACTTCTAAAAAAAAAAAAAATTCCGGGCGCCTGGGTGGCTCAGTTGGTTAAGCGACTGCCTTCGGCTCGGGTCATGATCCTGGAGTCCCGGGATCGAGTCCCACATCGGGCTCCCTGCTCGGCAGGGAGTCTGCTTCTCCCTCTGACCCTCTTCCCTCTCGTGCTTTCTATCTCATTCTCTCTCTCTCTCTCTCAAATAAATAAATAAAATCTAAAAAAAAAAAAAATTCCTCGTTTCTGATTTCGAAGGAGGTTCACGCTAACTTTTCCTTTCAAAATCCAAATTAAACCTATTTTACAATAGAAATTACACTTTTAGAATTAGGGGAAACAGACTCGTATTCATATTTCATCAGTGACAGTGGTAGAAGAAATTTCATTTATTCTTTCAAATCTCAAATCTGGAGTTTGGGGACCTCAGTTTAAGTAGAGTAGAAGCCGTCTTGTCTTCTGTTCTGTAGTTCTCAGTGATATAAATAACCTTGTTCCCTGTTTCCTTTCACAGGGCTTGACCTAGTCTGTAATCTTGGGCATAAGATTAAAAGCTCTCTCTTTAATCTTAGAAAACAAAATGACCGACATCATTAGGAAGTAACAAGAAAGAGGGATATGGAAACTTGGAAGAATTTTATCTTTACGTGAAATCATAAAGACTGCCATACTTAAACTAAAACAAACAAATAACTAAACTATACCAAGAAAATGGGAAGCGTTTATCTTAGAACTGAGTTCCACAGCATAAAAATCTATAAAAACCATTTCAGACTATAGATCTTTTAAAAACTGTATGCACTTCAATAGAGCAAAACTAGAAATTTAAGCTTGTTATGATTATTATTACATAGGTTTTAAAGTAATTAAGATAGGCTCTCTTACTCCTAGAATAGTGCAAGGTGTAGAGTTCACAATCCAATATGGCCAGAGTAGTAGATTCTATGCTTTTGCAGGAACAGACACGATTTTTGCATTTTAGGGCTGCTGAGTCAAGAGTAGCCTTTTTGTCTGCCATATGCCGTCAGCTGAGCTTGCAAGGACTAGAGCAGACAAGGCCATCTCTAGGAAAATGGAGCTTTTATTGATGGCCTTTTTAAAAAAAAAAAAAAGATGTTTTATATTATGCCTAATAATTTATCTAGAAATGCATAAAGTAGAAACACAGATTTTTCCAAACCCTTATCCAATGAAGCTTTCTTTAATTAAACCATTGAATTATCTCAAAATTGTCTGTAATAGAGTGTAATTGTTTTCAAAATGATTAAGTTGTTTTTGCAATTTCAATTAAAGTTAAATAATATTAGACGAACAAAGCCTAGATTCATTTTTAAAAAACTTAAGTACAACAGCGTTTTTAGAGAGATTCTGGGCAAGTAATATATGCTACATTGATAAATAAAATGAGAGCTAATAATAACGTGATTTTAGGTTAGGTTCATGGTATGATTTGATTTTGATAGGAGAGGCATTGCTTTTGCCCTGATTATTTATATTGGTAAAAATCTTTATTAATGAGTTATTTATCATCTTTGACAGATATGGATGCAAGAGGTTCTACTTCAGCCATCTCAAATGTCCACGCTGTGTCAAGTTATATACCTGTAGTATTCTTTATTGTAAATGCCTTGTGGTGATACTAACTTTTTTTTTATTATTTACTAGAAAGTTAATTGGTTACAGAAAAAGTGCTTTCATGAAATGCGGTGGTTATGCATGTTTTTTTTTCCACTCTGTATTTTTAACTTTCTATAGGTAAAATGTGAATATAATAAAAAAAACAGTAAATCCTTTTAGGGGAATCTGAAATGCCTTAATATTTACTTGATAAACCAAAGGAATTTACATATTACCTACATTAGACTTTTGATAAAGATCTTCATAAGCTATGATTTTAAGCACTGCCTATGGATAGACTCACGTGCTCTCATATGTATACGCACACACTCATGCGCACACATGTTCGTTTGTCTGATTTTTTAATGTAGAAAAACTCATTTAATCCAAACGTTATTTTCCCATGATAACAGCATTGCTCAGAAGACTTAATCAGTATTATTTTGATATGCTCATTTGAAATACTCAAGGGTGAAAATACATTTTTTAAATTACCCTGTTTGGAAGAGGGTGCATGTGATTCAAAAGAATGTTGGAAAGTGCTACACCAGAGGTGGGAACAGTGCTGTTTTGTTTAGGCATGACAAAGTTGTGAGATTCTTTACAAATCACCTTGCTCTCTCCAGTTGTCAATTTTTCATCTACAGAATGTGGAGATAATACCCAGCATACCTGCCCCTGCCCCATGCATTGTTTGTTAAGAGATAAAGAAGGGAATGTGAAAGTGTTTTGTTACCCTTAACATGCTGAATCTGTGCAAAATATTAATAAGAATTTATTTAACCATATAAAAGTCATACGGACCAGCCACTTTTTTACAGCTTGCATTCTATTATGGGTAATGCTTTCTTTTTTTCAATGATATTATAAAATTGAAATGATCCCATTTTATTCTTTCTCATATATTAAAAAAAATTAAAAAGTAATTGTTTCCTTCACATCTGCGAACAAGCTTTCAGGTTTTATTAAATATGGTGGAGAAAATAAGGAATGACCTGACTCTCAAGTCAAATATTAAACAAAATTCACACAATTCTTCATTTCCAATTTCTGATTCCATTCAGGGACCCTTTCTTTTTTGGATGGTGGAGATAGTTTTTTAATGAAATCCAACCGTCTATCAGAGTGAGTCTGGCAGGCTTTTTAGTTCCTGAGTTAAATTTGTAATAGAACCACGGCAATGCTGCTGACTTTGATATGTATGACTCAGTCTTTCAATATGTGGTTTTCAAAAGATTGTTGAAGACATGACTTCATAGCAATATGTAAAGTATATATGAAAATCGACAGATTGAGTGTTAGACATTGCAAAATCAATTTTTTACCTCTTTCCTACCAATTTCACATTTTGCAGGAACTTGTTCTTCTTTACAAAGATAGAATTTGAAACCAACAGTTCAGACATCAAAGAAGGATAGAAATTAGCAAAATTCTGATACCATCATGAAATATTGCTTTATGTTGAAAGATTACATTTGAGATAAAGTCATTATACACAAAAGAGAAAAATATTTATAATTTTCTCTGCAAGGTCTGTATATATTGTATATATCTAGAAAAAATCTGGGTGACTAGTAGATTTCATATGACCATTGTTATTTCCAGTCAAAAAGCGGGGAAACACTTTCTCCAATACCTGTATTTTATGCTACATGTAATGGAGTTGTACCTTTTTATTATTTAGTAATTCTGATAATATGTTCCTATACTTTCCATTTTCAAGATGATTACTCTATTGTTTCCTGGCGTTTGTAGCAATATATCTCCATGAGATATGTACTTTGTTTCATATTGAAAAGTATAAAATTTATCTTTAAATTCTGTGTGTGTATCCTATGGTTATCTGTATGTATTATTTTCTATTATTCGAATAAAATTTATAACAATCAAATATCCATGCATAATTCATTGTGGTATGGTCAAAAAGAGTATTTTAAGAGGGGAAATGGGATGGCGCCATAATAGTTATGCTGATGCTATCATTTCTTATATTTTTCAGCCAAATTTCAATCTTTCCATCTTTTAAGGGGATTTTTTTAAAGTTATTTTTATACCCTACTGACTTAGTAAAAACAGCAGTTTTAAAACAGTATCCTTTGGGGCGCCTGGATGGCTCAGTTGGTTAAGCGACTGCCTTCAGCTCAGGCCATGTTCCTGGAGTCCCAGGATCAAGTCCCGCATCGGGCTCCCTGCTCAGCAGGGAGTCTGCTTCTCCCTCTGACCCCCATGATCTCTCTCTCTATCTCATTCTCTCTCTCAAATAAATAAATAAATAAAATCTTTAAAAATAAATAAAACAGTGTCCTTTATATTAAAAATATTTCAGGTATGGGGAGAGAGGGAGGGGAAGTAGAAAATTCACTTTACATAATTATGGTATCTAGTTTCTAATGACTTGGTTGATAGTGTCTACCCACATTTTTGGTAAGTACTAGGTGTATTAGTGTACCTTAGTGAAGGGAAAGACTGAGGGAATATGCAGAAACAGATTATGCCATTAAAACCCGTGCCTGCATCATCTCGGTCTGAATTACACCCTCACTAATTAGGGCTGTGTGACCTTGCTTACATTCAGTAACTTCCCTATGCCTCAGTTTCCCTATCTGCAGAATGGGGACGTGGTACTATTACTCTTATAGAAATGTGAGATCTTCGGTGACTACTGCACCCTCTGTGCTGAATTTCATCTTTTGTAAATTGAGGTGGTTGGTGTGCCCACCTAAAAGCTGGGAGTTAGTAAATGAAACCATGTGTGTGAGTGCTTAGAGCCATGCTCCATCAGTCTTCTCATCAGTAGGTAAATAGGTGACACTGGAAGACAAAAGTAAACATTTGAAGGTGGCTTTCTTTTAATATGTTTAGAGCTCTCCCTTGATCTCATTCTACTGAGAAGAAAGGTATATGATACCAGTAATTCCTCGGAGAGAGTAAAGTGATTCTGTATCAGTTTTTAATAAGAATATAACATTAATAATGTCAGATAGCATCTTCACTGTCTTTGTGCCAGACTCTGAGCCACTTTACTATTGCTAAATTAATCATCACAGTTAGGTACTAATATCAAGCCCATTTTACAGATGAGACCAAGACTCCACGTGATTAAGGACAACAAGGGCAAGTAAAATAGGATTCTAACCCAGGCAAACTGCAAACCTTGAGCTCTACGGCATGTTTAGATCCCTTTCAAAATCAGATCCATCGGGGCGCCTGGGTGGTTCAGTTGTTAAGCGTCTGCCTTCGGCTCAGGTCATGATCCCAGGGTCCTGGGATCGAGTCCCGCTTCGGGCTCCCTGCTCAGCCGGAAGCCGCTTCTCCCCCTGCTTGTGTTGCCTCTCTCGCTCTGTCTCTCTCTGTCAAATAAATAAATAAAATCTTAAAAAAAAAGATCAAAATCAGATCCATCAGATTTAGAGATTTTGAGTAAGAATTTGTAGTACCAACATGCAATGTAATTTGTTCTGCCTCTATTATTGATCATAATTCAAATTGGGGAATGGAAAAGCTGGGAAGCTTTCCCTTGGCAATTGTAAATTTTGATATTCTCTAATTCTTACATGGAAGGCTATCCAAGATAAGACTATCCCAGCTTCAGAATTCTTTAAGTAAAAATTATAAAAATATTTGTCTGTTTGAAAAATATTTTCTAGGATTTATGTTTGATTTTCACCATACATTTTCTTTAATTTTTTTAAAGGTGGTTTGTGTTGATTTTCAATAATTTTACCATTTTCAATGAAAATGTAACAGTATGATTCAATAAAATAAAATAAAAAATGATTAGGATGTTACTAGTTTTTTTTTCCAATTAAAATCCCCCCTGCCTTTTCATATTCATATAATGCCATCTTTTTTTGAATTTAAAATTAATCTTAATTGGGTTTATTTTTTCTGAAGCATTGTACCCTTTTTAAAAGGGAAAAATGTACTGATATTCATTATAAGTCCGTTACACTTCAGTAAATATTGGAGGTAAAATCAACCCACAGTAGCAATTACAAAATTAGCAATCAGTAAATTGTACCATTCTTTTGAAAGGAATGATATAAACAGATTGGAATATGGCTTATTTCAATCATTAGGTTTTTCTGCTTTTGTTTTTATTTGAACGCTGTGCCCTAATTTAGCATGTCTTGCTTTATATATAGGTGATAATTACCTCTTGAACTTGCACATGTAATAAATGCACTGATACAGAATTAAATATGTAGGAAAGGGTGCTTCTGTTATTTGCTGGTCATCATTCCTATTCTTTACTCTTCTTTCACCCATTGAAATTAGCTTGGAGCTTGATGAGTCTACCTTGATCATTAGTACTGTGTGGAAGAGAAAGAATTAGAAACTGTATAATTGGATGTTTCCTGGGAAAATTTGGGGGGTGGGGGGACAGACAAAGATAAGAATGGCAAATTAGCAGATTTATTTTGGCATCAGACAGTAGAATGCGACAAACACAAAACCCAAAGCTAATCAGAAATGTATAGCTAGACTGGCTAATGAGGAAGCAAAATGTCCACTCAATGTGATTGTTGTAGTGGTTTTGCCAAAACGTCCAGATAAGAATGGCTGCCCTTCCAATGCTAAATGTCAAGATCACACATCAGAATGCCCATTGGGATCGTAAACTCTGGCAGAGTGAGTGCTCTCATTGGACATGGCTCATCTTTATCTGTTTTGCACATATTTGTTGAATTAAGTCAGTGAATTTTTCACCATCTCCTCTGACCCTCTCCTGTTTTGTTAGCTTAATTTTTCTTCCTGTGCTGCCTCTGGAGATAATAGATACAATAATTAGGGGAAGAAGAGGTATTATAAAATCTTATTTGAAGTAACTATAAGCAGTAGATCATCTGTATTGGGCAAGTTGACCAAACTGGAAAGAAAGCAGTATAACCTCACCGTTAAGAGCATTTGTTCTCAGTCATAGATCTGAGTTGGAATCCTAGCCATGTTTTAAAAAACTGTGTGACCTTGGAGAAGAAATTAATCCCCTCTAAGACAGTGTTTCTCTAAGATAGCACCA